GTGGCCTCGATGGGTTTGCAAGTGTGCCATTTGCCAGCACTTCCCTGTGCTCCTCGTGAGAACAGGAACGGCAGCAGCCGTGCTGGTAGCAGGATGGCCCCTTTGATGAAAAATTAACCCCCCATGTTTTCAGGAAGCGTCGCATCTTTGACAAAAAGTCATGTTTTCCTGCTGTTCAGGCAGGACTGGTTAGTGCCGAAGTCACCAAAATTTCCATCTGTGCCTCCCTGCCCCCCATACCAGCCCAGGCCTTTTCCCTGCCAGCCTGCCTCGACCTTGCGCAGAGGAGGGAGACCTCTGTCTCGGTGCTGAGGCAGCTACCTTGATGCTATCACTAAGTTTTTTCTTCAGCCACCATGACATTAGGAAAAACTTCTTCACAGAAAGGGTTGTCAAGCGTTGGAACAGGCTGCCCAGGGAAGTGGTTGAATCACCATCCCTGGAGGCATTTAAAAGCCAGGTAGACGTACGTGGTGCTGAGGGACGTGGTTTAGTGGTGGTTTTGGCAGTGTTAGGCTGATGGTTGGACTCGATGATCTTAAAGGTCCCTTCCAACCTAGACAATTCTGTGATCCTATGACTGCTTGTGTTTTGTAGATACCTGCCTGGTGACAGGCACATTCCTCAGCCTCACCGCATCCACTCAGCCTCAGCTCACACAGTAATTAGCCAAGTGTTTCCTGGCTGCCTTTAATTACAGCCACAACTATTTCCCTCGCTCTAATGCAATGCCTCAACGACAGCAAAGGTTTTGGGTTGTATCCTGCACAGAGCACGGTCCCAGCACGTGTTGGGACACAGCCATGCGCCGGCAGCCGCTGATTTGAACCGGAAGGGCTCATACCCCCTCAGTGAGTCACGTTTTTAGGTTTTAACCTCCAGGTCGTAATTGCCCGCGCTGGGAATTAGCGGTGTCTCCCCCAGCTGAGAGCCACCAGGCTTCATAAACCAGCCAGAAGCTCAGGATCCTCTTTCAGTCAATCTGTGTTTGGGTCTTTCAGCTCAGCTGTAATTCGCCCCCATCCCGTGGCCAATGCAGCTCAGCTGGCAAAAGCCGTGGAAGGAAAGGCCACGTCGCCTTCCAGGCCCCATCACGCTTGGGTTCCCCCCAACGTTTTCACGCCGAGGGCAGCAAGGTGGGCACGGAGCCTGCCTGCCCGCAGGCAGCCCATGGCTTGGCACTGGGGCCACGGGGCCTTGCAGGGCTGCAGTTTATGGCAGCACCCAAAACGATGAGCCTCGCCCCCCCTCCCTGGCCCAGCACCTTGCTAAGGCTGTCACAGTTAGCTGACCTGGTGGTGGTGATGTTGGCATGGCTGAAACCCGCTGTATTTCTGGTGGCAATCCAGCCCTTCAGCAGCTTCCAGCCGGCTTCGGGGGCTGCCAGAAACCAGTGCAGCAGCTGCCGGGCTCGGCCTCGCGAGGCTGTGATCTATAACGTGCATTGTCTTTTTATGTAATGTGTTTTATTAAACATCTTCTAAAGCTTACAAGTGTCCCCAGGACATAACTCTCCAGCGCAACGTAACGCTTTGCCAAGTAATGAAGTATGATTTATGGCGGCAACGGTTATCCTATGTTTTTTTTTAAAAAAAAATTATTACAGCAATAGCTCTGTCGACTATAGGAATATAACATGCTGCATTTGGCACGTTTATGACAACAGTGCTCTGGTTTTCTTAACTCCACAGTTCAGTGTTGGCAGTATTTCAAATTCTTGAGACAGATGTTTAAATGAATTTTTTAAGAGGACAGTGAAATACTTTTAAAACATCATACGGTGCTGAGTGTCTCAATATGAGCAGGACCATTATTTCTTTAACGTTCAGGTAGGGCCGGGCAGCACATGGCCCCTCTGGTTTAGATCTCACGGTAAATGATGGAAGTAGCAAATGTTGAATTAGCTTTTCTGGGGCATCCTGGCCTGTTGTTACTTTTTGGCCGAGGTGGTGGTGGGGGAACGGACACTCGGAGCTTCTCCTGGCTTTAGTTCGCATTCGCGTCTCGTTTGCGAGCAGCGAAAACAGATCCACAGTTTGTTTTGAATGCAGTTCCCACCACGTTGACACAGGACTAAGTGGTCTCACGCTGACATTTTGAGTGTGTCATTGTGGTCCCCGTGGTTAGGGTTTCAGGCCAGAAATTACAATCATTTGGAAATATGTAAATGAGAAGCCTGGTCACATATCTGCAAGGCAGATAGCATTCAAGTATTTCCATCGAAACACTGAAAATTCTTGTGTTTTTTTTTTAAAAAATCCTTTTTTTCTGTTTTTTTTTTTTTTTCAGGTATTGGCTAAAACTGACGAGCACGCCAGGATTAACAAAGCCAGAGCATTCAGCTCTGGCATTGCTGTTTGCCATGTTCAATCACGGAAAATCAGAGCCCACAAAGGCAGAAGTCAGCATCGCTGGGGACATCACAGCCCTCGATGTAGCACCGGGGGGGACAGCACCCTGCAACCAGGCTGCGCCCGCAGTCAGTGCAGAGAGATTGAAGACAAGGGAAGCATCAGTAAAGCAATGAACACTTATATTTAATTTACATTTGACAATTTGCACATAAATAATGATGTAAACCAATACGTAAACATATGATAGTTTGTTGTTCTAGCAAAGTAAAAAGCCTGTTAACTTTGGTCAGAGTCTTTCTTAAGAGAGACAAAAAAAACCCCAAAACACTGTTGATTGTTGCTACATTCACATGTAAAACTTCTAAGGGAAAGGGGAAACAGTAAAGAGAAGTAACAATTCTTAAAGCTGATGCATATAAATTCTTGTAAAATTTGTATCAAATACAAGAAAGCACTACAGGCAAATAATAGGAAAAGTGTGTGTCCAGTGACAGAGTAGTGATACTTTGGTTTATCCTACAAGTAAGTACTATATTTATGAACTATTGCTACATTTAAAAGATGTCAGCCTCACAATTTGCAGGAGCGGAAATGTAATGAACTGTAGTCCTTCAAAAGCTGTGTTGAGAGACTTGTATTTCAGGATCATTTATTTTTTAACAGAAGGCATTAAAACGAAGTTTGCTGAAAAAAAAGCTCACCGAATGCCGGATTGCTGAAGTGGGCTATTTTAAAATTTGTAAGAATGTAACCAGACAAAAAGATATACGTGGAAGGGAGGTGTGTAATAATGCTACTTATATTTATGCGCGTTGACCGTGCAACTCGTTACTGGCAGGGTAAAACGAGACGAGGGGCTCATCCCAACTAACTTCCATCCTGCCCATCACTGTGTTTGGTGAACACACCACGCACGGCTCCTATTTGGCTTCTTTTCAAGTTCTTTCGGTTACATTTTCTGGCCGTTTGTTCACTGACCACCCGCCTCCTTCCCCTGTCCGCAGGGCCGGGAGAGCAGAGGACCGACGACCCCGCCCCGTCCTGCAAACAGGGTCGTTCCCACCGAATTTGCTGAGACGCCACGTGTGGGTGACATTGTTCCCATCGGGCGTTTGCAAGTCCAGGCTTCACCTGGCCAGCTGGGCGTGCGTACTGGCAAGGGATAGATAAATGCCTTAGTACAACCTTCTGGTTTTGAGGTCATTGGTAATATGCAAAACTGGATAACATTTGATTTTCACACTTAGATGAAAAATAGGTTTTATTACATGGTTTGGCTCACAACTTAAGTGGTATAAATATATATACATATACATATATAGTATAGTGGTATAAATATATCTATAAATATACATGTATTCTTTGCTACACCTCAAACGTCACCATATCATCTTTGGGCTTAGCAAAACAAAAAGATAAAAGGACGTGCATTCTATCTTTCCCTGTGCACATTTTGGTTTCTTCTCTAAAGTAGCAAAGCATTTAGATAAAACAGCATTGTCTGCACCACTGGACACAAGCACTGAGGTAATTGTTGTTCAACAACTTTGCAATGCCCTTTTTTCTTTAATTAAATTAACCACAAAATGTACAAACACAAATACTGAGAAAAATCTGACTCGTACAGGAAGGAAGAAAAAAAATGTATGTGCCAGGAAAGGACTTTGTTCCCCACTTCTACCCAGGCAAAGTGGGAGAGGAAAATACAAGTAAAACTGAACCCCTCCTTTCACATCTGATCTGACCATCTTTTTTTTTTTTTTTATCCCTGGAAGGCTCTGGCCAAAAAAAAAAAAAAAAAAAAAAAGGAGAAGAAAGAAGTCTGCCAAAAACCTCCTTTCAGGCAGAATATTAAGAATATTTGTGTGTTTGCTTTCAAACGGCTTTTTTTGGAAACAAAAGAATGTAAGATTTTATTTTGGAAGAGCCACTTTAAGCTGATGCATTCCTTTGGTCATAAGGTTACCTGACAATTTGTGGGGCCATAGCTGTTTTCTAAAGAACCTGTGGTATTGTCCATGGCAGGTAGGTGTCTGCTGTGCCACATCTGGCCCGGGTAGAGCTGCAGGTAGAAGCAGCTCTCTCCTGTCCTCAGAGAGGCAGAGGGAGCAGTTTCTTCCCCTGCTCGCTGCTCCTCGGGGTTGTTGGTTTTTTTTTCATTTTCAATTCCCAGTGGGGTGATTTGCACATAAAAGAGCACAGCATTTATTTTCTTTTCAAACCAACGGACCTAGGATTCTGTATGTCAAATGTTCAACTTTGGCAATACGAAAAACCACATTTGTTTAAAAGACATTGGTACATAAAACACATTTACTGAAACCCCAATCTTAGGTTCTTAAAACAGATGTGCAGAAAAAAGTATCTACAAAGAATGGCCATAAAACGAAAAATAAAAAACATTTAAAGTAAAAATTACAATGAATTTTCCAGTCATTGTAAACATTTTCCTAATTATTGCTTTTAGAATGATTAATTGCATAATAAATTATGAAGTACTATCATTGAAAAAATAATTATGGATAGATGATTGTCTTTTAGTAACTGGCGAGGCAATGCACAGTCCTTTGCCCCTTTTTATGCCCTGAGAAAACAGTAACTTTGGAGTTCCTTCTTTCAGCTGGAGAGCGTAGGGAAACTACTGTAAGCCAAGATTGCTTTGCAGCATCGAAACTATGTACAAGCAACTGCTACAGGCACCCTGACTTGCCAAGTCATAAATAAAAAAAAAATCACTTTGCCAAAAAGTCTTAAGGGTCCATTGGTTCAACTGTTTCTTGCTTGACCTTTACAGGTAACAGAGGTAGTGGGTGACCGTGAGGCAACTTCATAATTGACATATCTGACGACTCGTAAAGGTTGCATCCTGAGGAGATAAGTCCATTTCCCAGGTTCCTCTGTAGAGACACTTTCAGATTAGCTCCTTCCATTTCCCTCCTGAGTATGGTCAGTATATCCTTCTCCACGATCGATGTTAAGTCGATATTGTCCTCCACTTCTTCCAACTTGTCAGCATTGTCACTGATGTCGAACTTCTCGATCTCCTCGTTGATTCGATTCAGGTCCTCCATGGAGAGGCCGGAGGCAGGGGCGACGGGGCAGTTGCCCTTCAGGTGGACCTGGAGGCTGCAGAGGTGAATGTAGCTCTTGTGGCAGTGGATGCATTTATGGGGACGTTCCCGGGTGTGGAGACGCTTGTGCAGCTTCAGGTGCACAAACTGGGTGAATTTGGCCGGGCAGAGCTTGCACTGGTAAGGCTTCTCTCCAGAGTGGAGCCGGTGGATTTTGAGATTGCTGGTGCTGCTGAGGCGCTTGTGACAAACCTAATGTGGGGGGTGGCAGAGAAACAGTGAATGAGTGGGAGGGGATTTTATGGTTTAAATCACAGACACCTAGGAGGAGACGGCGGGATGAAGCAGCAGCTTTTTATATCTTCACGCTTTCTCACAAAGGGAAAAAAATCCCCACCTTTTTTATTTAAATATCGCTGAATAGTATTTCGAGTATGGCCGATGGCAAAACTGTATCAGACAGATGTTGCTCTAGCAGGCTAAAGGCAACCCCGCTGTCTCACAGTCGCTGCTGCGCCAGGGCTGGCAACGATTGTGATATGGACTCCAGTCCTCAGCAGCTGCGGGTTTGTTGCACGGCCCTCCCTGCACACCGTATGGGGTGTGCACAGCCCTGCCATGCCTGCGGCCTCCAAGGGAAGCTGTCTCTGTGGTGCGTTACATACCTGACACTCGTGGGGTTTTTCTCCTGTGTGTACCAGATAGTGCTTCTGGAGGTGAGCCAGCTGTGTGAAGCCTTTATTGCAAGTCTGGCATTTAAATGGTCTCTCTCCGCTGTGTACTCGGAGGTGCACCTAGGGAGAAACAAAGCAATTAACAATTCGCAGTTTCCAGTACAGTAACAAAAGTACTTTCAGATGTTTCCTAAAGTTAGCGGAAGACTCCCATTACCAAAATACAATGTTATCTAGTTAATTCGGTGGCATCGGTATTAAAACACAGTCTTTACAACTGTGCTTTCTTGCTGGGGGTGCTGTATTCAACCGAGACTGATAAAGAGCCTAACCAGCAATGGATGCCTTGTCCCTCCTTTTGCTAATAACCTAGAGGGAGAAACCAGAGCCTGCCAAGGCTCCTGTCTTATTCTCCACTGCCTACCTTCAGATTGGAGAGCTGACCAAAGGTCTTGGAGCAAACGTTGCATTCATACTTGATCTTCCCGTTCTGCTTCTTCAGTGGGTATGGGAGGGTTTTGTAACCGGTCACATTCCTCTTACTTTTAATGAGATTCATGGCTTCTTCACCGCCGGTGGCAGCCAACACCACTGAGGTAGGTTTAGGTTGCATTATGTGTTCTGAACTGGCTGCTGTACCAGCTGTGGGTGACCCGCTGGTGGGGCTGCATGGCTTGTCCTTCATGCTGGCAGCAGCGCCCGTGATAGAGAAGGCACTGTTAGGTGCTGGTATGAGGAAGTCTCTCGGATGATCAGGCTGCAGCAATCGACGGCCTCCTTCACTGGGCAACGAACTGGGGAGCGTGGTGGGGTTCAACATGTGGTGGGAAAGGCTACCTCCGCTGAGCAGGTTGCCATAAAGAGGATACATCCTTGGGAAGAGATTGAAATTGTTGATGCCATTGATATTGTTCAAAGCGCTCAGGTTATTACAGCTCATATTGAATGGAGGTAACAGGAATTTGGGGTAGTGGGGGTTATAGGACGATAGAAAGGCAGGTGGGAGGTGGCCAGGGGGTGCATATCCAGGATAAGACCCCAATCCTTCTGAGCCATATGATCCGTTCAAGTAAGAGTACGGCTCTCTGTGCTCTTGGGAAGTAGGTGCCAGAGGTGAAACCGTGACCCCTGGACTGCTGTGAGGGCTTGAACTTTTTAAACTTTGGTCTGGGCTGCTCCTCCCGGAAGGACTCGGTGTAGTAGACGTCTGGATGGGCGAGTGAGTAATGTAGCTGGGTCTGTCCATCCCATATGCTAAGGAAGCTTTCAGATAGTCTTCTGGAATGTGAGGTCGAATGGGGTAGACAACACGAGGGAAGAAACACCTCTCCGGGCTATAGTTCTTATGCAAATCATCCAAGTCTTTTTCTGGAGTAACTGGTGAAATGTTGGTCTGGAAGAAGTCTTTTCCCTTTGGAGGACTGGATTCCATTTTCAGGA